ATATAGTATCCCAAAGCAAACGAAGCGGGGAAGCGGCGAGCAGTGAACTCCACACAGTCAAAGCGTTCACTGCCCCGCCCCCACCTGCTGCTAGGTAGGTGGGGCGATCCCTGAAGATGAAACCAGCTGAACTTTTCTATGAAAAGGTTGCCATGGTAGTTAAAGGGTTAAAGGATACAGAGATGAATGTTAAAGGTAGAAATGAGGAATACTCTGCAGAGGTCTTTAGGTGGCTTTTCATTTGGTTCTAGAAGCAGGGGGGCCACCAGGAACTAGGGGCCCCATTAAAGAGTTTGATATTGGGCCCTCAACTCCCTAACCTTAACGGGGCGGCTGCTGGTGGTTCATCTGTTTATATGATGAAGGAATAAAGGCAGTTATTTAATGTTGCCTGGTCTGGTTGATGAAGGGAAACTCTGGGAGATTTCTGGCTGTTTGGCATCTGGGTTATTTACAGACAAACAATAGGATCAATAAATGCTGGATTAATCCTGGTTTAATTTTTCTTTAAAAATGAAATACAATAAAACAATAAAAAACTTGCTATCATGTTCAGTTTCAGACGCACCCAGCTGGGCGGCATCATTAATGATGTCATTACCCTCCATCATTGAGGAGGATTAACTAAGTAGTTGAATCCAGCAGATCTTATTTTAACCAACAGGTTAAAATCTGTTGTTAATTTGAATTATTCAGTTAACAAACCTTTCTGGAAAAACTGGGTCCCGGTATGGGGGGTTGAAATATTCACACTTTGTTTCACTGATTACTGCTGAAAATGAGGGAGAACATGAAGATTGTTTATTTAATTTTTTTTACTGTTGGATTTTCTTTGCTTTTATATCAGATAAAATATAGTGGAACAGTGAAGGACTGTTCATCATCCTCCCTCTCCTCCAGCACAGGGCCTGGTCTGTCACTGCCCGGCATCGGGGCTTCCTGAGGAGGGAGATTTAAAAAGAAGGCTCGTTAAATCCGACCATCATCCAGACACGGATCTGGATCAACCAAAGGGGATGTTTTTCTCACAGCTTTGGGGTTTTTCCAAAGAATAATGGACTAGAATGTCTCCCTAAGGGGATTCAAAAGTTGTTCATAGGGCCTGGTGGGGCCAGCGTACGGCAGCCTCGCTTCTGTCAACGAGCCCCAGGGCAGCGGTGGCTACTATGTAGCTTACCACCATCACTGTGTGTGAATGACTGAATGTAGTCTAAACTGCTTCATAAATAAAGGCCATTTAAATAAGGTCACATGACCGCTGTTATAATCATTATGCATCGCTAACGTCTGCTGGGATGGTGACGTCATCGGCCGTAATTAAAACTGATTCTATCATAAAAACCAAATCAGCACAAACGACAGTTTTACCTGCTGAAATAAAGCAGCTCTGAAAAAGTAGGAGCTTAATGGAGGATAGTTGATTTTAACTATTTAATTTTTGATCATTTTAAATGCACAAACCTGCACTGAAGAAGCAATAACCATCCAGTCTATTTTTTTTACCCGTCAGTGGGGAAGTCGGAGGATCTGAAGCTCCTCCTACTTGATGATGCGATCCAGGATGTAAACACTGCATCTGAAATGCAGAGCGGTGAAATCACGTTCGATCTGAACCCACCTTTAGTTTTTTTTCAGGTCAATTTTAAAACCAGGAATCAAACACAGCATAGTCATTGTCTTCTGCTTATCTGGGGCCGGCTTGTTGGGGCCCGGGTCTCCACCGTGTCTCTGTGGAGAAAACTCATTTCAGCAGCTTTTATCCAGGATCAGTCCTTCAGTCACGACCCAGAAAGGAGGCTAAACAGACCTTTCAGCCAAGCTCTCTCTTCTCCACAATGGACCAATGAAGCATCCACATTGCTAAGGGTCTCATTGGTTTGTTCTAAGGATTTATGGCCCGGGGAGCCAAACCAAGCAACATGAGGCCCTCCCTCAGTGGGCCCACCACCCAGGGGGGACCAACATGGATGGATCAGGTCTATGGGAAGCTTCTTTTTCTTTTACTTTAGAAAACATGCAAATAGCAACGGATGAACGGGTCCCCCCCTTTGGAATGGGGGTGGTTTGGTTTCTTTGTTATCCTGCAATGCCCCATACCTGTCTATGTCTCTGAAAGGGGGGTCGTTAGAGGGAATTCCAAAGGGGTGGACCCGTTCGTCTGTTTTAATTTGCATGTTTTCTAAACCAAAATAAGGCTTTGTTTTTGGTCCACTCCATAAAACCTGGAACTAAACGCTATTTCTGAGATTTTGAATTGAAAAAGCTTCCTGGATGGAAGAGAAACGTCTTCAAACTTGGAAACAATGGCTACATCCTCTGGAGGCCAGATTCAAAGGCTGATGATGTCATAGTGCGGCGCCGAGGCCTGTTCGGATTCAAAGACTCCTCATTATGCGGCCGATAAATGCGTCCTCCTTTTTGCCCGTTTTGAAAGGCGGGTCCGATGTATCCTCCGTAGCCTTGGGTATCCCATGATTCATTGCGAGTCCAGGAAAGCCGGCTGCTCCGTGATCAGAGGAAAGAAGGAAATGGCGCCAAACAGTGGTGAATATTGGAAGTTCAGTTTAATATACCGTAATCCATTTCTGTGAATAGTTTCGTCTGAAATGAATGAAAATAGTTGTTTTAATGGTTAGTGAGTCAGATATGTTTGGTTTATCTGTTATCTGTTACTGTATAAATGGGTTTGGCTGTAATTTAAGCTCAGATTCTAACACCTCGCAGGGTGGGGACTATAAATCTGATATCTGAGACGATGGTACTGCTGCTGAAGCTCCTCGGAAATGTCAGATAAATAAAAATAAACAATAAAGGTTCGGTATTCATTCTTTTCCTGCTTCGTGTGTCAGCTCTCATGGTTGCTAGGCGACAGAGCGTACGGGCGGTAAAAGCTGCAGAAGGCCGGACATGTTTGAATCCACAGCTAAAGCTCTTCATGGACTTCGAATGATCCAGGTCTCGAAGATCCTTGGAGGATGCAGCCTCAGAAATCGAACACACCCTCTGAGTCTGATTCATGGCGCTCTGCATCACATGGACCCGTCCTGCAGGCGCAGCATAGTTGAGATTGCTGCCTCCTGGCGACTCGTGGATTTTCTCCCTCTGAGACGGACAGAAGAGAATCATATACCAGTTTGGGCATCATTTTGATAGAGAATAGGATTGCAGCAAAGGCTTAGAAAAAGGCATTTTGCAGGATTTTGCCCATTTAAGATTAAAAAAAAAATTATACAAATAGCAAGATTGCATAGTAATTAAGGCAGAAGAAAGTTTTTTCATTTTGTGCAGAAACCTTCTGAAACCAGTTCTTGCTGTTAATAATGTTAGAAACGGGTAAATTATCTCCAGCGATTGTTTACTTTTACTGTTTATTAACCTGCTCTTCAAATGAAGCCTCAGTAGATAGAAAATAACATAGAATGTGTCCCATAGACGCCTGCAGAGAGGCAGCAGCCCAGCGTGACTCTGATGGATGAACAGCAGTAGATGGATTAAAACACAGAAGACCGAACAAACATTTTAACATGAACTGTCTGTGGGAAATCTGGTTCTTCATCCAGGGAAGAAAAGCCAAAGATTTTATTCTAATTATATCGGTGATACTTCTTGATGATATTACTGAGCTAAACACACACAGTTCAGTTAAACTTCTTAAAGTACTTTCTTTCCAAAAAGTTATTAAATTAAATGTAAGAACTACCCAGCTGCAGGGCAAAGCATGGCTGGCTGCAGGCGGGGCTTAAAGTCTCAGTAGAGGCGCCATCTTTATGGAGTCGGTTCAGTCAAATCATTCAAACAGATTAAAGTTTTTTTTTATAGATATGTTTATTAAAATATAGAAAACAAGCTCAGCAGTGCAGAAAAGAAAAGATAATATAAGGAGCATACATACTTCCATCTTTCTAGAGTCTAAGCATTTATAAACGCCTGAGACAGGATGGTGGACGCGTGTCCTTCAGCATAGTCCAGGAAGGGCTTCATATGCGTCCAATGGTGTCAGTCTTAGGGTGGACGAGGTATGTTAGAAAGTCCAGAGGGATATGTTCCAAAATAAGCTTCTTCCAACCAAAAATAGTAGATTTATTAGAAATCCATTGAAACAAAATATTCTTTCGAGTGCAGAAAATGAGGACATTCTATAATTTGCTCTTTTTTGATTTTGGATGTTTGTTTGGTAGAACAAGGAGAACTGGATCCAGATCAATATTGGTTTTAATCATTTTCCCAGTCTCCACCAGAATAGATTCCCAGTATAACTGGGACCAGAGATGGTGTGTGAGGCGGCCTTCATGTTTTAGGGCACAGTGAAGTGAACTCTGCTTTAAACTTAGACATTTGAGTTTCAAAAACTGCTCCACATTTCATCAGTAATCTCCATATTCAGCTCTTCTCCTCAGGTGAAGGTTTTAGTAGATTGATTCATGGACCTGCAGGAAGAGCAGAAAACTGAAAGCAGAATCAGTTCATTGTAAAGTTTCCTAACGGCGTTTTTCCAAAGCTGTTTATAAAATTGTTCAGGCTCCTCTTTGTGGTTCTTATTGCTAATTTAGCTTTGATAATCTTAACCTGTGGTTGAGTCATTTTTCCCGACTTTAAAGCATCTTCCTTTTTTTGCTCAACTTTTAGTGATATTTGAGTTGGAAACTTTCAGAGCCATAGAAATAAGAGGAGGAGCTTTAGTCTGAGGTTTCTGCACCAAACTGAATCGGACTCTCTGGTCGTTCCTGCTGCTCCGATCGAGTTCCTAAAGATGACTCTCAGATAATAAAGAATCTGAAGCCTAAGGGAATGTTAAATTAAAATAAAAAAAGGCTCTAAGAAATTAGAATTTTTAGATGGGAACCAAATGTAATCCTTTTAATTTTGATCCAAACAGATTCACTTTGCATTTAAGGTTAAAGCAGCAAACAGTCTTAATGAGGATAGAACTAAACCGATTAGATCCGCCGCAGCCTTTTGGATTCAGTATTGTTTTTATTTCTGTCACATTCATTACATAAAAATATAAAAAGGAAGCAAACCTTAAATATTATCTGTGCACCATTCACTTTTTTAAAGGCATTTTAGAGAATCGAATGAGCAGATTTAATGGTCTGTTACTGGTATTCTGGTTTCCTTTCCAGGGTGATCAAGGCTTTCCTGGAGAGCCAGGTCTTCAAGGAGAAAGGGGCTCAGGTGAAGCAGGTCCAAAGGTATGTTTAGATGAAAACATAACAGAGGCAAAGGATGGGGAACGCTTCTCCTGATGTTCAGATCTATTAATGAACTTCCAGGGTGAGAACGGACCTGATGGGGCTCCTGGAATACCTGGAATTCCTGGAGAAGATGGAGCAGTTGGACCCAAGGTGACCCTGTGTTTCTTTACGTTTACGTTCCAACCGACTGATATTCAGTTTCAGACAAGTAAAAAAAAAAAACACGCTGACCTTGTGCTTTATTATGATAAATTAATAAATGTTTTATCACAAAGCAGCTTAATAGGTTTATTAAGAGAGCAGCAGTGAGGAAAAGTTACCCTGTTATAAAAAGATTCAAATGACAACATATACATACCTCTGCTTAGAGGCGGTCTGTGTGAGGCCGATGGATCCAGTCATGGGGATTTTCATCAGTCTTTGATCTTAAATGTTTCCTGCTGAGGTTGAAGGAGGATCAACCTGCAGAATGTAATAGAAGACAAAACAGAAGCTGTTTTAATGAGGAACTCAGATTAAAATGAGAAGAAGTTATTGATAACACAGTAAAAACCAGGCATGGAGACAGGAGGCAAACAGAAGAGGAAACAGTAGGAGAGGAAAGAGGAGAAGATCAGGACAACAGGAGAGAGATCCAACATGGCGTCAAACAAGATGAACGAGGATCCAAAACCTGGTCGGCAATGGAGGAAATGATGGAAAACAAAGAATGAAACCACAAAGGAACCGAAGATAAAAACGACCCAAGGAGAAAATTAAGAAGATAATCTGGACACAAAAAAACATTAAAAGGTTTAAACAACAAAAAAAAAAAAACAATAAATGTAAAGAGAAACTGAACTCCTCTGAGGGCTTCACAGAATGACGGGTTTAGAGTCCAGAGACTGGAACAGGGTCATCTTTGCAGGGA